CATCAGGTGCCGAAGCCAAAGCGAGAAGTAATGTAGTCTTATATGAAAGAAATTTCATATCCACAGACTCAATGGGTTCAAACGGTAGGCTACAAAGGGCCTTCAGCACCAAAGACAAGTCACAAGCAGGGACACTGGACTTAAGCACAGGTCTCAGCCGGCAAACCCCTTTCAGAAAACGTATGGCGAGGGGATGTGCGCCCGGTGTCACCCCGTCAAAGTCAAGCAGATATAGCTGCTAAATAAATCTTAATTGTCAAAAATGCAAAGACCCTTATCCAGCAGCTCCTGCAGGAATATCAAAACATCCACAATAGTGGCCTGAAACGGGAGAGTGTGGCGGTCCTGGCACCATTGCTCGAAGGCTCACCATTTGTAAGCATACAAGCCTCTTGTACAGTGGCTTGCAAAAGTATTCGGCCCCCTTGAACTTTCCCACATTTTGTCACATTACAGCCAAAAAAAAAAAAAAAAACATGAATCAATTTTATTGGAATTCCACATAAAAGACCAATACAAAGTGGTGTACACATGAGAAGTGGAACGAAGATCATACATGATTCCAAACATTTTTACAAATAAATAACTGCAAAGTGGGGTGTGCATAATTATTCAGCCCCCTGAGTACAATACTTTGTAGAACCACCTTTTGCTGCAATTACAGCTGCCAGTCTTTTAGGGTCTGTCTCTACCAGCTTTGCACATCTACAGACTGAAATCTTTGCCCATTCTTCTTTGCAAAACAGCTCCAGCTCAGTCAGATTAGATGGACAGCGTTTGTGAACAGCAGTTTTCAGATCTTGCCACAGACTCTCTGATTGGATTTAGATCTGGACTTTGACTGGGCCATTCTAACACATGGATATGTTTTGTTTTAAACCATTCCATTGTTGCCCTGGCTTTATGTTTAGGGTCGTTGTCCTGCTGGAAGGTGAACCTCCGCCCCAGTCTCAAGTCTTTTGCAGACTCCAACAGGTTTTCTTCCAAGACTGCCCTGTATTTGGCTTCATCCATCAACTCTGACCAGTTCCCTGTCCCTGCTGAAGAGAAGCACCCCCAGACGCATGATGCTGCCACCACCATATTTGACAGTGGGGATGGTGTGTTCAGAGTGATGTGCAGTGTTAGTTTTGCCACACATAGCGTTTTGCATTTTGGCCAAAAAGTTCCATTTTGGTCTCATCTGACCAGAGCACCTTCTTCCACATGTTTGCTGTGTCCCCCACATGGCTTGTGGCAAACTGCAAACGGGACTTCTTATGGTTTTCTGTTAACAATGGCTTTCTTCTTGCCACTCTTCCATAAAGGCCAACTTTGTGCAGTGCACGACTAATAGTTGTCCTATGGACAGATTCCCCCACCTGAGCTGTAGATCTCTGCAGCTCGTCCAGAGTCACATCCTCTTGGCTGCATTTCTGATCAGCGCTCTCCTTGTTCGGCCTGTGAGTTTAGGTGGACGGCCTTGTCTTGGTAGGTTTACAGTTGTGCCATACTCCTTCCATTTCTGAATGATCGCTTGAACAGTGCTCCGTGGGATGTTCAAGGCTTGGGAAATCTTTTTGTAGCCTAAGCCTGCTTTAAATTCTCAAAACTATGTTCTTGTCGGGAGTTACTGAATTAGATATTTTAGATGTAGTTAACAACTGTAAGAACAAGACCTCTACTGATTGTTTTGGTATAGATATGACATTAGTTAAACGAATCATACATAGCATTGCCAGACCTCTAGCTTATATATGTAATTTATCATTTCAAACGGGGAAATGCCCAAAGAAAATGAAAATAGCTAAAGTTATACCCATATATAAAAGTGGAAACAAACACATCTTCACTAACTATCGACCAGTGTCCCTGCTCCCTCAGTTTTCTAAAATATTAGAAAAACTTTATAATAATAGACTAGGTAAATTTATTGACAAACATAAACTAATTAATGAAAGTCAGTACGGATTTAGGACAGGAAGGTCAACTTCAATGGCTATCATTGATGCAATAGAAGAGATAACCAACAGTCTGGATAGAAAAAGACATGCAGCAGGGATATTTATTGACTTGAAGAAAGCATTTGATACGATTAATCATAGCAGATTATTTAAAAAATTAGACAGATATGGTATTAGGGGAGTGGCTTTGAAATGGATCCAAAGTTATTTGACTGAGAGACAGCAGTATGTGAAGATGGGCGAGTTTGAATCGGGGTATTTGGGCATTAGCTGTGGAGTGCCACAAGGATCAGTTCTGGGACCAACTCTATTTAACCTTTATATAAACGACATATTTAATGTATCAAAGTTATTAAAATTAGTCATATTTGCTGACGACACCAATATTTTTTATTCTAACGACGACCATAGTGACCTAGTACTTAACATTAACAATGAGTTAAGGAAATTAAAAATATGGATGGATGTTAACAAATTATCTATAAATTTGAGCAAAACCAAGGTAATGTTCTTTGGGAATTACAATGTAAATGTAGATACTGTAATAAAAATAGATGGTGTAGTCATAGATGTAGTATCAGAAATAAAATTCTTGGGAGTAATGATTGATAGCAAATTATGCTGGAAATCACACATCAGACATATACAAAATAAAGTGTCCAAAAGTATCTCAATCATAAATAGAGCCAAGTTCTTCTTAAACTGCCATGCAATGTTTTTGTTATACTGTGTACTAGTCCTACCATACTTGACTTATTGTGTAGAGGTGTGGGGCAATAATTACAAAAGTTCTCTGCATCACCTGGTTATACTACAAAAATGTGCTATAAGAATAATGTATAAGGTAGGATATTATAGTCACACTAATATTTTGTTTTTGCAGTCAAAACTATTAAAATTGATTGATTTAGTTGAATTCTCGACTGCTCAACTCCTATATAAGGCAAATAAGGGTATACTGCCAGAAAATATCCAAAAGCTCTTTACACATAAAGAAGGAGGTTACAATTTGAGGGGATGTAGTAACTTTAAAAGGCAGATAGTTAGAACTACCAGGAAAAGTTTGTGTGTGTCTGTGTGTGGAGTGAAACTTTGGAACAGATGGATGTAGAGCTCAAGCAATGTCCAAATATTCATCTGTTTAAATCGAGGTACAAAAAATGTATATTGTCAAGGTACAAAGAGGAATCGAGTGTGTGATTGTTTATCCATGATAGTAAATAATAATATATTCTTTGTATTATTTCTTTCTTTTTTCTTTGTTTATATATAGAATGTTAACAACAAATACTTATATAAACAATTATCTTGTAGAGTTGAAATGGACACTGTTGATATTGTCTTACGCTGTTGTTATTACTGTTATCTCCATTATTAGGAAACAGTAGACCAGAATTAATTCTTAAAAGTAAAATTGATGAAGTTACTACTATACAATGGAAGCAAACTTCATTGATATTTTCATAGCTAAAATATAAATAATATATGGAGAGGATGTAATGACCATGATGGTGATGACTGTGATATTCAACGGTGGTAACAAAGACTGTATTATTGATGCTAAATATTTACACTACTGTATGTTGTAATTATGACAATGCGATAATTTTATAACCGTAATTGTATGTCACAAATATTTAAATGTACTGCGCAACTACAAAATTTAAAACTCAGATAAGATTGTAGGGGTGGGAGTTAAAAAGCTTGTCTTCATCCCACTCCTTTTCGAGCTAAACTTGTTTTTTCTTTTTTTGTGTAATTGTACATTACAATAACTTTATTATTTGGTTGCTCGAATAAAAGACATTCATTCATCCCTGACCTGTCTGGTGTGTTCTTTGGACTTCATGGTGTTGTTGCTCCCAATATTCTCTTAGACAACCTCTGAGGCCGTCACAGAGCAGCTGTATTTGTACTGACATTAGATTACACACAGGTGCACTGCCTCCATTATTAGGAAACAGTAGACCAGAATTAATTCTTAAAAGTAAAATTGATGAAGTTACAACTATACAATGGAAGCATACTTCATTGATATTTTCATAGCTAAAATATAAATATTATACGGAGAGGATGTAATGACCATGATGGTGATGACTGTGATATTCAACGGTGGTAACAAAGACTGTATTATTGATGCTAAACATTTACACTACTATATGTTGTAATTATGACAATGCGATAATTTTATAACCGTAATTGTATGTCACAAATATTTAAATGTACTGCGCAACTACAAAATTTAAAACTCAGATAAGATTGTGGGGGTGGGGGTTAAAAAGCTTGTCTTCATCCCACTCCTTTTCGAGCTAAACTTGTTTTTTCTTTTTTTGTGTAATTGTACATTACAATAACTTTATTATTTGGTTGCTCGAATAAAAGACATTCATTCATCCCTGACCTGTCTGGTGTGTTCTTTGGACTTCATGGTGTTGTTGCTCCCAATATTCTCTTAGACAACCTCTGAGGCCGTCACAGAGCAGCTGTATTTGTACTGACATTAGATTACACACAGGTGCACTCTATTTAGTCATTAGCACTCATCAGGCAATGTCTATGTGCAAGAGATGTCCCAAAATGTGGGAAAGTTCAAGGGGGCAGAATACTTTTGCAAGCCACTGTATGTGTTGTACCGAGTGAATCGACTGAAAGGGAACACCAACAGCTTTACTGACAAGAAAATTAGTTCAGAATTTTCAAACAAAGATGGGATTAACAAAGGCTAAAGTTCTAACCTTGGTTCGAATATCCCAGACAAGCCCCCATTTTTACAACCAGCTTTAAGTATGTATCAAGGAAGAAAATGTATTAAAAACAAACCTTAAAAAATAAAAGTTAAAGAGGGTTGATACTAAGTGGAATAAAAGAGTGTGGGTCCCACTATGAATCTCCAACCTGAACATTTTCTGTATTTTATCTTGAATTTGACCTTGTTAATTAACAGATTTGAAAACATCCTCATAAAGCTAAAACTAATATAGGAATAGTAGCCACACGTTTGTCAGATATCCTTCTGTGGCATGTTAATGTAACATGGTGCATGACTTGTTGCTCTACCTTGCATCATGTAGTTTATGGCTTGGTCGGTGGTTTTCTTGCTATCCTGTCCTGTGGCGTCCAGATACTGGAGAACGTAGATGTTTGGTGCAAAGTTAATCATGTTCTGTTCCCCACAGCCATAAGGCATTTGAATCAGTGAGTCCAGACCACTGATGGATGGACCGAGGATATCACCTTCATCGAGATGGAAACAAGAAAAATAAATGAATAAAAATTGTATTTAATGGAAAAACAGAGCACAGATGAGTCATTTTAATTAAAATTTTCAAACAGTAGCTTTTGGTTTGAGGAGTTACATGGTATAATCCAGAAATGCTTTTCATATCAGCAGCAAAATTTACAGTTAAACTTCTTGCATTAAAAAAAATAGAAGACAATAATAGATACTTATAAGTATAAGACATTTTCCGCCATAAAGAAAAAAAGATTTGCCACATCAAACCAATATTAGTGGGCTCAACTTAGCAACAGTTAAACGGGAGAAACATACTCCCGTTTAACTGGAGTTAAAAGGTTCCATGTCTCTTGAGAAACACTCCAAACAACTTGCCCGGAACTGTTTTTATCATCTAAGAAACATTTCTAAACTCAGACTACTGGTGTCAAAGGCAGAACTTGAGATGATTATTCATGCTTTTATCTCTTCTCGTTTGGATTATTGTAACGGTCTTTTTACGTGTCTCAACAAATCAGCTCTGGATCGCCTTCAGTCTGTACAAAATGCAGTGGCAAGACTTTTAACTGGTGCAAACAAGAGGTCACACATTACTCCAGTTTTGGCTTCTCTTTATTGGTTGCCTGTAAATTTTAGGGTTCATTTTAAAATTTTAGTTGTAACTTTTAGAGCTCTGCACGGTGAAGCTCCCCAGTATATCTCTGACCTGTTGAAACCTCATGCTTCATCCCGAGCACTTAGGTCTTCAGGTCAGAGGCTACTGGTGGTCCCACGTACTAGGTCTAAAACACGTGGGGATCGGGCTTTTCAGGCACTGGCACCTAGGCTGTGGAACTCTCTGCCGTTGTCTTTACGCTGTCTAGACTCTACTGACTCCTTTAAAAAGCAGCTGAAGACATTTTTATACAAACAGGCTTTTAATTAATTTTAACTTGTATGTCTGATCTTATTGTAAAGCACTTTGTGGTTTTTATCTGTGAAATGTGCTATATAAATAAATTTTACTTACTTACTAAATATAACTGCATAGTACATATCAGTATAGCAGGATGCATGTTAGAAGTTTGAGGAAAGGTGGGATAATTATTTCTGTAGTACTTTGGAACAGTGGCGTTAATTAATATTAAAATGACCACAGTCAGCTTACCCTGGAGGGAGCATTTAACAAAAAAATCTCTAAATTTTATGTATGTATAGGTGTGGGGTCAATTTTGAAGTAAGTTTTTTTTTGTTTTGTTTTTTTTTTAACTTAGGGATCAGTAAAAGGTTTTAGATGTTATCTCTGTACATGCTGTAAAGGCTGCAAAGGAAATTGGTGCCTCTTACCTGATCAGAATCAGCAGATTTTTTTTTTTTAATGAACATTAGCATATTAAATGAGGCCATTTTACTTTGATTCTATTTGTAATTTTCTGAGCTTACAGGCCCTTGATGTAAACTATTGAGGGTTGGAGTTTTATGCATTTTTAATTCAAATTTTTTCAGCATTTTTAATCTCTTAGAAAATCATATGTCCAGGAGATATCCACATGACAATTTTAGGGCTGAAAAATGTATTTAAACTCTGTTAAAAACTGCAAAAACCAACATATGCAAATGTAAACTTATTCCAAGATTGACAATCTAAATCATAATAACAATAATCTGCAGTAATTTAATATTTATGAGGAAGAGGAACAAAAACCAATCACTGGTACCCTGGATGCTTAGTCTGTTTTTTGATAACTTACTGGAAGAACCCTTTAAAAAAGGAAAGAAATTGGTAAATTTTAAAAGGGCATATCACCACGATATGGGTAAAGTGATGATTGTTCCACCGTTTTTTTCATCTTCTAAATTTCAGTCAAAAAGGCACCTCCATAGTTTTGTAAGTTCAGGATAGTACTTTCTTACGATAATACACTACGCTCTATCCAGGTACTTCCCTCACCTGATGAAAAGTAGTGTGAAATAAATCATTTCCTGCTAAGTCCTACACGTGACAAAGGACATCTGTGGAATATTTCCAAACTTTCCAAAGTTTGTGTGTGAAAACAACTTCAGTAAACCTTATTTTTAGGAATCATTGTCTTCTGTTTTGTTGTTTACCATGAATCAGCCTGCAATCTCAGGTGATCTGAATCTGTTACTCAAGGTTTCTCCCTGGTGTGTTTACATACCGACAGCCATAACTGAAGCTCTCTCGCTGCCCTCCACAACATCTGGTGGGAAGGTAAACGTAACGTTTCTAGACAGGCTCATCCCTGCTGGTAAAAGCTCAAGCAGCAGGGAGGTGGAAAACGACTGTTCAAGACCTTCGGCCTGCAGGATGAATGGACATGCAAAAGATGAAGGCAAACAAAAATGGTGAGTAAGAAATGGGAAACGCAGAGCTGTGAAACCAGGTCAACATTTCTTTAGTTACAGTGGAGTAGATGGCGAGGATTGGTCACGTTAGCAGAGTTCCCTGCCTGTTTGTGCTTTAGATGGCTGACAGGCACTTTACAAACAGGATATACACGTTCAACTTCCACTGTCACAATTTCACAAGTTATTTTGTTATCTGTTAAAACCTGGAAAATGCTCCTTCTCAGTAAAAGCTAATAGAGAGATTTGGTGCCCCTCAGAGACCTCAGAGACCAATCAGTAACCCCATAATAAGATCTAGTCAGACTAAAGACTAACAATGTAGTAGTCTTATAACAGGCTTGATAATAACAGAAGTTCATATTGATAATAAAATCTAAGCATGGGAGTTAAAGTTCTACAAAAACAACAAATAAATGTATTTTTAAGCCAAATTTATTATTTGAACTGTTTTGGGACTGTGGAAATTTTTCACTGCGCACCTTAACTAACACTGTTGTGTGGACAGAGTCGGACACTGCATCCGAGTTGGCTTTCACAGAGATGGGGATCTCCCCGAGGACCAGCGGCCTGATGGGAATGAGGACGGTTGCTCCGCTTTCACTCTTCACAAACACCGGATGAACACCGGGCGTGGAGAGCTGCTCGTTGTCTGGGAAGACGAACTCGAAGGTCTCACTCTGTGCAACAGTGACGGTGACCTAACGACAAAGGCACAGAGTGATCACATTTAACGTGGCACAAAGGGAGTCGGAGGAACCCAAAGAGGCCTGTTCTTTCATGAAGGGTTTAAAGAACATATCAATTTTCAGAAATACTGATGCCACCTTAGATTATGGCAACTTGACACGTAAAGAACCCCCAATATACATTGGTTAAACAGAATTTCGCATTTAAAAAGATGCAGATATGTGTGGGAAAGGTCACATTTTAAGTGTTCTCAACACTCTCGGTTCAAAGAAAACAAAGAAACTCACCACCTATACCATCAAGATCCTGGACACTGAACTGAAAAGCAGCCACCCTTCTATTATACTGTCTGCTTATGGTTCCTCTAGGTGGCAGCATCTTACAAAAGTCTAACTCTGCTGTACTGTATTGTGATTTAATAATGTATGGCAGGCAGAAGCTGCCATAAGTATGCAACAATTAATTAAATGCCCAAAATTTATTATTACATAAATACATACAGATTATGATTACATGTAATAAAAATAAATATTTTATTTAAAAAAATAAATATGGGAAATAATTAATCTATAAATTCGACATAAATGTATATTTCTGACTTAATATTCTTTATTTGTTTTCTTATTGCCTCAAATCCCACAAATGGATAAATAAAAGTAGTTAAAAAACTTTACAAAATGAAATAAAAGTTATCATGATCAAAACTTAAAAAAGAAAGCACACACACTCTTAAAATAACAACCGATAAAATAAATAAAAACAATAAAGAATTTTCCAAAGGTCAAAAACTGTTTAACTATTAAAGAAAAGGTTTTCTCTTACAGTATACTTTGAGAAGTAATTCTTTGATGTCCATATTTATATTCCTATATATAAAATATAGGACATTCTTTAGACCACACAGTTGAACATTTTTTTATTTTTAAACATGTACTTTTCTTTTTTCTAACTTATTCGTTTAATTTTATTTTTGGCAGTCTCCATAATAAAGCTAATTTAGCACCGTACCAAGGGTTAAAAATGACCCATTTGTCTAATGCTGGCAGACTCTTATATTAATGTACACTCTGCCTGTGTCTGAAGAGAAGCAGATTCACCTTCTGGTCCTCTTGGAGGTAGTTGAACAGAATGATCTCCAGCAGCAGCTCCTCTCCCCGGATGATGAAGGCCGGAAGATTTAAGGACAGGAAGAAATCCTGGAACACTGTCAGCTGCAGGAAGGTTGCATAGAAAACCTGGTTACAAGAGATGCTAATGCTAACAGCTACTGCTCAGATTAATAAGCCAAAAAGCCATACTGTGAATAAATTTAATAATACAGGGTTAAAAATTAAAATGAATTAAATATATAAACCTTAATACCTCTGCTGGTTGCTCTACAATTCCCAGTCCCAGATTCTCAGACATCACAAAGGCAGTGGCAATCCAGGTTGTGATGCTGTCTGGTACAGTTAGCGCCATTTCCTTTGTGTTTGAATTACTGCAACAAACGGCAAAAAAAAAAAAAAAAAAGAAGAGAGAGAACTTTAAATTTTAAAAAACTGCATCTGACCCAACGGTTTCTGAAGAATCATACCGTGCAGGTCATCAGCTTTCTTACAAACAGTATGTTTGCTTACTGACTTAAAATGTTAGGTGTTGGAGGTGTGTTGTCTTTTGTCTTTGCAGGTTGGAGAATGTGGTTATTTGGAGAAAAAAAGTTCTTAAAAACTTAGATCCTGACCATTATCTATGAGATCTCTGACTGTTTGTGGCTTCACCTTCTTTGTGTTGTTTGAGCCTTTGTTTTGCACCACAGCTTACTCAGCGTTAGCTTGGTAATATCTTTTATCATTTCATAAGTATGAATGTATATGGGACATCATCTCCTAAGGTTATATGCCAAGGTAACAGCAAAAATAACACCCACTCACATCCTGGGCCATTTAACCTCAATAAATCACATGATAGAGTGAGGCTAGGATTCACAATGGGTTCACCCGAAACCTTGGCTGATTGTGACTGGTGTGAATATGGCACGACGGGACCACAGATCGCAATTATGAGCCATTTATTTACATCTCATCACACCACAATACACACCGACCCCTGAGTCCCCATGTTTTAACTCGGTGGGCGTGATTAAGGATGCACGGCATCCACCCTCCCTGCACGGCACCGCAGACCACGTCCCACCACAGTGAGCCAAAACAGTTTTCACACCTTGGCTGTGTGATTAGGTAGAGGAACAATAGGGGGTCCAAGACCCTCTTGGGGACACTCCCATAGGGTTTAAAATCTGGGACTCTCCACCAATTACTCTTGGAACTGAAAAGCTTCTTGGATTAGAGGTGAAGCATCTTCAAGAAAGCTTAAAGACGCCCAGACGCTTTTCTTTCCAAACTTAGACCACAATTACCTGGATCAGGGGTCAGCAACCTTTAACACCCAAAGAGCCATTTGGACCCGGTTTCCACGCAAAAGAAAACACTGGGAGCCGCAAATACTTTTTGACATCTAAAATGAAGATAACACTGTATATATTGTTTTTTACTTTTATGCTTTGTGTGAACAACTAAGGTGTGTTGCTTATGAAATCCATGAAGTGCTACAGAGAAAATTACATTTTATTTATGTAATTAACACATTTTGAACTCTTAAAGAAATATAACAAAAGGAAAGACACCCAGCTGAACTAAAATGATCCATGTAGCAAACAAAAACTGTTGTGAGCTGCCACCCTACTCGCCTTTGGGCTTTTGGAGCCTTGACCTGGCTTTTAAAAAAATAATTGGAAAAAAAAGCACTATACTGCTAAAGAAAAGAAAAATAGATATTTGCCGGCTGTATGCGTACAGCAACCGTGTGTGAAAAGTGGTCAATAAAGAGATGCTGAAAAGCGTGTTCATGCAAACATCGTCAGGCTTGCCATGGTACAATGGGACTTCTGCTCCTGAACCTCTGCGCACAGCGTCTGCAAATCGGGGCTGTACGAAGTCACTTTCATCTTTACGCAGGACTGTAAGCTGTCATCTGTGAGGCGTGAGCGGTGTTTGTTTTTAACATAGTTTACGGTGGAGCTGCTGACATAATGTGGATCCAAAGGTCCATAATTGGCCTACCTGGGGCTGAAAGTCTCGATAAATGCGCGGTGTTTCAGCGGATATACCAGCTTCCACGAGTGTGACGCTTATTTTGAGCGATGAAAAAAATAATGGAATATAATTGTATTTTTATATTTCAATATCACAATAATCTTCCAATTTAGAACTACAAGTTAAAAAAAGAACTAACATAAATAAAATACACTTCAACTAAATACTTCTATTTTCCCAAACCACGCGGAGCCGCACTATAAAGACTAAAGAGCCGCAGGTTGCCGACCCCTGACCTGGATGAATGAGAACCTTCACAGAGAACAAAAGTAGAGGCTTTTCCCAAACTATAAACATATTTATTTCTGCTGTTAACTTCGGGGTCTGTGGATTTATTGGACATTAGAGGAACTGCATTTCTTGACAGCTTCTTGGCCTCACTTCTGCTAAGTGGACTGATTGAATTCAACATCTCCACCTGTTTTACTCCTGCTATTGTCATGGTCTCTGTGCCTGGTCGGCAGACTCAGTATGGCTACAAGTGTTTCTGTATATTTTGCCCCTTCTCGCTCCCCTCTCGCGCCCTGCGCACTACCGGGGCGGAGTTCATTGTGACCCTCGCCCATGGCTCCCGCACCTGCAAACAATCATCTGATCAACACTTTCACGGGCTCCCTACTTAAGGCTAGAGATGGCACTTACCACTTTTTTATGTCCGATACCGATATCATAAATTTGGATATCTGCCGATACCGATATGAATCCGATATAGTGTTTTTTAATCAATAAAACTCTTTTTTAAATATCTTGCTGCATTTTGCCTAAGTTCATTCTCAAGTTAAAAACAACAACAACACTAAAGCTATTCTGTTATACCTGTATGCAAAAAAAAATAAAAAAAAAAAAAAAAAAATAGGGAACCCTCCACCTCATGATGCTTAATTGACGTAATCAACTTTAATTTGATGCAGTGTGGGAAAAAAATTGCACAGAAATCTTTTGCTAGATCCGCCCCTGCACAGTTACCAGCCGTCAGCTACATAGAAAAAGATCCTGGTGTTGAAAATAATATTAAATAAATTCTAACAACAGCTTATCAAGCTGCTGCTGTTGTTGTTCAGCCGCTGGTTTCCTCTTTCTGGTGCAAAGTGGGCCAAAAACAAACAAGAGAGACGGACTCGCACAGAAAAGCCGATCAGCTGATCATTATGGAGGGGAGGGAGAGAGAGGCAGTCGCTCCATATATCGGTTGTTAAGCTTAACGTGAGAATGCTTTACAATCATTCAGAGATGAACTTACACACTTGCTTTACTTCTCTCTGGGATAACTTTTTCAGAGATGAAATGCCGGATTGGTAGCGAGGCTCCAAATGCTGAACCAGACCACCGACACCTCTCGCACGCCACAGCCGCTCTATCACGTGATGCATACTGCTCCAACGTGCTAAGGTTATGAGGCGAGTTACAGCGTGTCACAAGTTTTGTGAGGCGCTTTCGTGATATTTAATGGATCGGATTACATTTTTTATTTCTTTCCGATATCCGATCCAGTAATTTAGGTCAGTATCGGACCGATACCAATACGTACTATCGAATCGGTCCATCTCTACTTAAGGCAGCCACTGGGAATGCTTCGTCGCTGGATTATTGTGTAACCTTCGTCAGTGTTTCCTGTATTCAGCAGCTTTCTTCAAGTTTCTCTTTGAAGTGCTATTCTGATACCAATCTCCTCTTTTCATGCCTGACTCTGCATGCCCCACCCGAGGACCTGCTACTGATCTGTTGTGAATGTGGTGTGTTGGTGCGGTGTGAGCGCGAAAAGGAATCCCTGGGAGGAGAAGTCCTGTGTCTGAATTAACCGTGTGCGTTTTCCCCTCACTGCCCTCGTGACCCCTAGAGACCCCAAATCCCTTTCCTTCACCTGTACATAGTGGCACTCGGTGTGAAGAAAATAAACTGCCTTGATATTGCCTTTTGCAGTATTTAAAATGCAACTGTCTCAAAAATAATGTGACCTGTGTTCTTTTATCAGCTGTTCAAGAAAATTGTGCTTTGCGTGTGTGAAATTCTGGTGTCTGTGTGCTGCAGCCTTACAATTTACATAAAATTTGAAAACTTTTGTTTAAACTCTATTTTTCAATATGTAGAGTAAAGGTCACATGAAACAGCAGGAGGCAACTGTTTCTACAGTCTGACACTGAAATATCACCTGGTGTTTGTGTCCATCCAGATCCAGGTCTCTGGAAAGTACCAACGCACACGTTCCTTTTGTTGCTCTCCACGTAAATGCTCTGTCGCAGTAGTGTAAAACATTATCTCCCCTGCTGTTAAAAAAAAGAAAGAAGTATCAGTCACATTAGCATTACAGATCCACAATGATTAAAATGTTTGATACTGTTTAACACTTACGGAAGTCGTGCATTATTTGATACGTTTTCAAACTGGCATCAGTGAAAACCACAAGATCACATGACTGTACAAAAAACAGAACTATCATTACATATTATTCATTTTGAAATAAAGTGAAGACTGTCCATCTTCCCTCAGTGAAAAAGAGGAAAACCAAACCAAAACTCTATGTTATGAGTTATAAGTAATTACAGAAATATTACACATGTCAAAATATTAGAATTATGGCTTTAGTGTAGGTATAAGTGAGTTAAAAGCTCAGGCACCGACTGCTCTGAACACTCAGGGTCACAGTTGTTTCTACTCTTGGATCTGTTTGATATTATATCTGTAAATATGAGCATCTAGGGCACACAATGATCACGGAAGGCCCTCCCATGTCAGAGCCTGTTATAAGATAAGTAAGGATTATTTTGTGATTCAAACAATGCTTCTTGAGTCAAAGAATAGCTGAAAATGAGCAAAGTCACTAAATAAACAGAAGCGATGTCTCTCTGTGGAGGCTAACCTTGAAAACAGAGTGTGGATCCCCCAGTTTTGGCGTTTCATTGTTGCCGTCAGCCATGGAATTGCCAAACTCCTTCATCTGCTTCATCACCTGAAAATATCGCCAGCAATATAAGAGCTGCTACTGTTACACCCCATAAAACTGAACAAAGGAAACTGGGACAGAAACATGTCTAATAAAAAAGTTCAGCCTTGTTAAACTGATACTTGGGTGGGGAGGCAGGTTTGTTTTCCCAGGTGAACATGAAAGGGATCATATACCAGGAAGCATATAATTATAAAAGGCAGAGAACATTTAGCTGGAAAACAATAAACTACAGAGGACCCCAAGGAGATATGGAAGCTTCTAGTATTCACAGGTTACACTGTTGTAAACAATAAAGCATGTTATGTGATCAACAACAGTCAGTACGAATGAAAAACAGATGAGTCAAGGCTCCAAGTTTGATCTCTCAAATTAAGGATCAGATTGAAGTAAGCAAGCTGCCTCACATGCTGATATTTAATTATTAACATTTTAAGAAACCAATAATTGTTTTAGTTTGAGAAGCTGAATTACATTTATATAAACTATCCTATCATGTACGAGGAAAACATCTCATCTTCTTCACATATCTCTTAACCTATTCACTTTAAAAACATTTTTCATAAGATTCAATGCAGTCTTCTGAACAATACTCAGTAAACCCTGATTGCCTCCATACGAATTAGGAGGATAAGGAACAGCCAACGTGCTGATTATCAAAAGTCAATGAGTTGCCATCAGTTCATCAGTCATCAGTTGTGAGCACCTCTGTAAAAGAAGACATTTTAGCAGCATGCTGGGTATGTGTTAACACAATGCCAAAGTTATCCCAGGAGTACACGACCCAGTAAATTCCTTCCAAGGTCAGACTGTGCAATGCTCAGAGAAACTGCAAGATATCCAAGAGCTACATCTGAGACTCTGCAAGCATCGATTAGCAAGTTAAATGCAAAAGTTAATGACAGCACACTTAGAAAAATACAGTGCTTTGCACAGTCAAAGTCTAGATTTAGATCTAGACTTTGACTGGGCCATTTTTTTTTAAACCATTCCATTGTTGCCCTGGCTTTATGTTTAGGGTCGTTGTCCTGCTGGAAGGTGAACCTCCGCCCCAGTCTCAAGTCTTTTGCAGACTCCAACAGGTTTTCTTCCAAGATTGCCCTGTATTTGGGTCCATCCATCTTCCCATCATCTCTGACCAGCTTCCCTGTTCCTGCTGAAGAGAAGCACCCCCAGAGCATGATGCTGCCACCACCATATTTGACAGTGGGGATGGTGTGAGTTTAGGTGGACGGCCTTGTCCTGGTAGGTTTACAGTTGTGCCATACTCCTTCCATTTCTGAATGATTGCTTGGACAGTTCTCTGTGGGATGTTCAAGGCTTGGGAAATCTTTTTGTAGCCTAAGCCTGCTTTAAATTTCTCAACAACTTTATCCCTGACCTGTCTGGTGTGTTCTATGGACTTCATGGTGTTGTTGCTCCCAATATTCTCTTAGACAACCTCTGAGGCCGTCACAGAGCAGCTGTATGTACTGACATTAGATTACACACAGGTGCACTCTATTTAGTCATTAGCACTCATCAGGCAATGTCTATATGCAACTGACTGCACTCAGACCAAAGGGGGCAGAATAATTACGCACACCCCACTTTGCAGTTATTTATTTGTAAAAAATGTTTGGAATCATGTATGATTTTCGTTCCACTTCTCACGTGCACACCACTTTGTGTTGGTCTTTCACGTGGAATTCCAATAAAATTGATTCATGTTTGTGGCTGTAATGTGACAAAAGGTGGGAAGGTTCAAGGGGGCCGAATACTTTTGCAAGCCACTGAATGGGCTGTTTGGAAGAGCTGCCAGGATAAATCGTTTTCTCTTTAAATAGAAAATGCCAGTACAGCTTAGGTTTGCAAAGGTGCATCTGAACAAACCACAAGACTTCAATGTCCTTTGGATAGATGAGACCCAAGTGGAGATTTTTTGGTCAAAATACAAAGCACATTTGGGGAAAACCAAACGCAGAATATAAGCACAAACAACTCATAAAAACTGTCAGCACAGTGGTGGAGGGTTAATTGTTTGGACTTGTTTTGTAATCACAGGACCAGGCGCTTGTGACCTGAACTTCTCTATATGCTAACCAATTCTAGAGTCAAATTTCAGGCCATCAGTCTGACAGCTAAAGTTTGGCACAAAAACAAACAGGAGAATGGTCCCAAGCAAAGCAGCAACAACAGAATGGCTGAAAAAGAGTGTCTCAATCGGCCAATTAGCATCCAGACCTCAACCTAGATGAAATGCTGTGGTGGGACATTAAGAGAGCTGTGCATAAATGCATACCTGCAAATTTACGATTAAATGAGGCAACATTGTAAAGTAGAACTGAATCAAGCAATTTAATCGTGAGATAAACATAGTTTTACTGTCAAAACTTTTATTTTCACATGAATGTATACATACAGTTCTTATCTTAACATTTTACATACCGTGTCCGTGGTGATGTCATTGTCTGATCCCGCCCACTGCGTCGCCTTGTCAACCACCAGGATCCCGACTACTGAGTTGGGCTCCAGTACACTCACATTCAGGGTCACAGTCTCAGCTGGCCTCTTTACAACACTGCTCCAACTAAGCGACACCTGCCAATCACAGGTTGATTAGTCACAAATTTGCAAAAGTACCATTTTACTCGTTATTTCCTGTTATATATGTCCTGCTCTAATGGTGGATGTTCATATTAAACATGCACAAAAATTTTAAACCATAATGTAAAAATAAGTCATCTCTGTGAGCAAAAATGTGAGATTTCAAAATTCTGAGGTTTTTTTTTTTTTCAACTCTTTGATGTGTATGAAATCAGTGAAAAATAATGTGCCAAATGTGGTCATCTTAGGTGCAAACGTCCTGCCTACTAATTAGACAAAGTCAGCCTGAAAAGCTAAAGCAAGACCAGTTTAAGAAAAATAAAGATTATTTAGAACTTTAATAAAGTCAGGGAATAAGTAAGTTAGGATATTTAGGAGTTACGTATAAAGGTCCAGTCAGACCATCTTTTAACATAAGAAATATATTCACAATAATATAATAAAGAAATATTATTCCTGGTTGTGAACAGATAGTCACAGGATGTTCAGAGACACACACTAGCATTATGGCACAGGGCAGCAGAAGATATAAACCTCATTGGGATAAGAAATGGACTCCAGAGCAAGAAGACACCAGTTCATGTTACCTTTGCAGGTTGTTGTCTTTTCATGAGCTTTTAGGCTTTTTCACAAAATACAATATTTTGCTTGTTTTTCTAATTGCTAGATAGTCAAAGAAGGACACCAGGCAGAGGGCAAACGTATTTCTCCAACACTGACACAACTTTCATTCAACTATTCTTTTCTTTTTCTTCTTTTTTTTTTTTTTTTTACTAAGACTAGACATTGAGAAAAGATGACGGTTACTCACTGCTGAAATGTTTGCTGGGAAATTATTATCATGTAACTTGGATTGTTTTTTCTTCACCGTTTTTTCCAACTTCATAACCGCATATTCACACAATTCAAGAGACAAATTAGTTTATTTTTCAAAGAAAAAAATGAACAATGAAAAAATCACCTGGTTTTGTAAAAACTGTCTGATTGGCAGCTGGATTGCATCATTGATGACCTCTCCGCTGGGGTGCACACAGTAAACGATGATGCAGGCCAGAGGAGCCCAGGAGACTTCTGGGACCAGAGTCAGATCAAGAGAGCCTTTCCCGGCAGAAATCGCCTGTCCTCTTGACTTCACCTTTACACACAAGATACAGACGGAAGGTCTTATAAGAAGCTGGAAGCATACATTCGTCTTTCTTTGCTTACAGCAATAAACTGAATACTTAAAACTTCTTGTCACCACTACTGGAAAACAAACAACTTTCAACAGTTGGAAATGTGCTTTATTTAAATATTAATCAAATTAACTACAAATTAGACAAAGTGTAATAATATTTGATGCTTTTTTTCATACCAGGTAGTGAACCTCATTCAATGGAAAATTACTTTCAATGTGCAGCAGAAAGGGCGAACCAACCTGAAAGAAGGTCAAATGGTGACGTTACGTATGAGTATAAATGTTCTACAACCACAGTCAGTAATTGGCTGTAAATCTGTTTTTTGAAGATCTACACTGTCATTCTAGAAGCCTCACCATCTTCACACAACCAGTCACTTGGAAGCATTGTACAGCGCTTTGAGGGCCCCGAAAAGCGCTATATAAAATGCAATCCATTATTATTATTATTAACTAAGTTAACTTTAATTTGAATCATAGGCAGGACATAAAAACTGAATGTTTATAATTACTAAGCAAATGTAAATGAAACAAATTGTTATAATGAACTCAGTGCATGTGATTGAGGTGTGTTGAAAGGACAGCTAAGGTAACCATAGACTATTTTGGCATATTACCTGCATGTTTACAATGCTGACACAAAGGTAATTTTAAATAGTTCCTTGTATTCTTCAGCTTTACCTCGGGAGGTGTGAAGGGTTTCTGAATCTGCAGGTAGCTCTCACTGGGGGATGTGTAGCTTCGCTGTATATATAGATTGCTATGGCTGTCCTCAAAAGAAGCCTGAGAAGAAAAAGAGATACCAAAGATTTTAAATGTAATTTGAAATCATGATCATGCTGTCATGTCTCTTCTTTCTCCGCAAACTAAGAAGAGCAGGAGCACCAGCCCCCATCATGTACACTTTCTACAGAGAAACCATCGAGAGCATCCTGTCGAGCTGCATCACTGTGTGGTTTGGAGCCTGCAATGCGTCCTGTCATAGAACCCTCCAACGCATAGTGAGAGCTGCAGAGAGGATCATTGGTGTCTCTCTCCCCTCCCTCCAGGACATTTACAGCACCCGTCTCACTAAAAAAGCCCTTTGCATAGCGGCTGATCCCACGCACCCAATGCAAAGCTTCTTCAAGCTGCTGCCGTCAGAGAGGAGACTGCGGAGTCTCCAGGCCAGGACCAGCAGACTGAAGGACAGCTTCATCCATCAGGCTGTCAGGAAGCTTAACTCCCTCCCGATTCTGCCCCCTCTCCCCTCTTCTCCTCCATGGTCTCACTGAACTCTGTCACATACACACACACACACTCTCTGACTCACTCACTGGCCTGCACCAGTTACCAGTCACTTTGTGGAGCATTGGACTGCCATTACCTCATAAGACTTTGTTGTTATACTATCTCTTACCGTATATTACTAAATCTCCATTTGCACTATTTGCCTATTTGCACTACTCTGCCTGGTTTACACTCAATGTCATTTACCCTTACCTGAATATTGTATATTGTATATTGCATAGCTTTCTTGTTAAATTGTATTGTATTTATTTAAATTTTTACTTTTTAATTATTTTATTTGCATTTTTTAATCACTCTCTTATATTTAAATGTTCATTTGCTATTTCATCTAGGGTTTGAGAGTAACGAAATTTCTATTCTCTGTATGTCCTGTACATGTGGCAGAATTGACAAATAAAGTTGACTTTGACTTTTGACTTTGACTTTGATGCTTTTGGGTTTAATTTCTGTTTTAGTTAACACGTAAATATTTTTCATATTAATTTATTTATCTATTCAAGTGTAATTTCTTTTGTACGTGATTTTCTTGTCAGATGTGGATTTTTCACAGTAGATTACTTTATTCTTGCCTGTAGCTATTAGCACTCTCCACCTAGCAACTACAGAATAAAATAAGCCTTTAGCTTTTTAGGTACAATATGTGAGTTGTAAAATCCTGCTGCTAAATAAAAATACATTTAAGCAAATAAATGATAATATCACAAAAAAAACCCCACACAAGATAAACAATATTAAACAAACATGTTGTGTTTTTTCTTGTTAGATATTAAATATGATAAAATCATTTTTCATTATACAGTTACCTTTAAAATTTTGTTTTGTGTTATGAATATAGTTAATGCAAAATAAATCTTTAAAAATCACATAATTCAGTTGATATTCAGAATTTTCATAACACCCTGATATAATAAAGACATATATTCCAAATTTTTCACAAGTTATACTTAGCCTATTTTCTAAATTAAGCTTAGAATTGAAATTAAATTAGCTTTCAGTTGGCCCCTGAATTGGTAAACACATAATTTTGTCCCTCTTCTATGCAGATGAGACACCAATTTATATTTCAGCGTAGTGCAATATGTCCTAAGACTTTAATGCATTTTGCCATTTCTTTCGATATAAATACATAATATTGAAAAAATATCAGCAGATGTCAATGATCTATCTACAGAGTATATTTGTTCAATTTAATGTTGACCAGTACATTTGAAATCATATGTTTAGCTGTGCAGTGACTCATTTGTTAATTAAAATTTAAATATAAAATTAAAAGTTAATTGAAAGTACTAATTCTGTAATTTTTTTTTCCAAAATTGGATCCTAAATTAAGAAATAAGCTGTGTCTGAAAGCAAAGGCTAAACAGATAAAGTAAAACAATAATAATTTTCAAGATTTCTTAACAGAACTAAAGGCCTTGTTACTTAATCCCACATCCAGACATTTTAAAGTCAAATTTTGAAATAATCTGTCTTATAATATTTAGTCAATGAGGGTATTATTGTATAACTTACATCAATACTGAGCATGTCTGTTTCACTCGTGATTTCAATGCTGAAAGGTATGAGTCCATCTGCAGGGACAGGAAACTTCATTTCTTTAGGTAGCATCTCCTTTGGACTTTCTGAAGTTCCTGAACTGTTCGATGTTTTAGGCTCCGTGTCTATCACCATGTCTCCGATCCAACCCCAAAATCTTTGCTTTTGCTGAATCACTGAAACTTCAACAAAGCTTTGGCGATCCTCCAGTGACAGTGGCTGATTGTTGTATGTAGATATTTTCAGCTACAAAATTAGAAAAAATAATTAGCATAATTGTTTTACATTAACACTGGAATATCTGTTATCTGTACAGCTCAGACTCTGCATTTCACTTAAATGCTGCCTTCTTACCCTGGCGCTGAAGGTTAAAGAGGGCCTCAATAATTTGTGATATTCTTCAAAGGAGACTTTATATCTGGTTTTTGACAAACCTACTGTTGCCGTACTGTTATATGTAATGCCTGAAAAATGAGACGTAGTCACAGGAGTCAGCACCACAAACAAGAACAAAAGCTGGTTAGATTCCAAAAAATAATGTAGACCATCTCCCTGACTTTGTAATTAAAAAAAACTATAGCAGTTTAAAGTCCCACAGTAGAGAGCAAATGCAATGCATCTGGAAAAAAAAAACTCACAGCGCTTCACTTGTTTCCCATTTTGTCATGTTATAGCCTTATTATCATAAAATAGATTAAATTCATTTTTCACCTTGTCATTATGAGGTACACACAACACCACATAATGACAAAGCGAAAGAAGTTTGCTTAAAATTCTGGCAAATTTATCGTATGTCGTGATATTCAAAACGTGCAATGGTCCCATTAACACTATGCATCACATAGCTGTGTGTGCATGTCAGGCCAACCAAGCCACGAAGTCCTAGAGATTGTCTGTAGACCTCTAAAATTGTAAAGAAGCACAATCTGGGGTAGGGTACAGAAAAAAAGTATTGAAGGTCCGAATGAGCACACCGACTCCCCCCATCCAAACTAATGGTGCTTGTGAGGTTCTGTAAAGAAGAATGGGAGAAACTGCCCAGAAATAGGTGAGCCAAGCATGTGGCACCATAGCCAAAAAGACTCAATGCACTTCAACAAAGTATTAAGCAAAGGCTATGAATACTTATGTACATGTCATATTTTTGTCTTTATTTTTAATAAAGAATAAAAAAACTTTGCAGAATTTTCAAGCAAATGTTTTCACTTTATCATTACGGGATATTCTGTGCACAATTTGGGGGAGAAAAATGATGTTTTAATTGTATGTAAATAATGTAAATATTGTAATACACACTAATTTCACAAAAATATGAGCTTGGACACTGCCTGGAATAAAACTCTACACCTGGAAATGCTGAAACGCAGAAGTTAGAAGTACTTAAAACAATATATGAAATACATGCATACATAACATAACAAAAAGTAAAGAAATAAGCTGTAAATTGTCACTTCCGATCTGTACAACCAATCTTTTGGTATTTCAAGTTAACATTTATAAATAAAATCTGAATTACCTGTGAGGTATTCAGTCACATGAGCCACAACTGTTAGGTCCTCAGCGTTTCCCTCGTAGTACATCATTTTGGAATCATTTCTCATTTGGAAATAATCAGGAGCATCAAATGTGAAGCTTTCAGTACCATCAATCTGATGAAAAGGAACACTGTTAATGTGTTAATTCTATGATGGTTAAGTTTAAATAAACTGTATATTCTCAAATGTTGTAATCAGGACAGGAGTTCTTCAGTCAAAAATGATTTAATCAATATAAAGAGAAGGTAATTAGTAATCTTAAGCGTGATATATTACATATATCATGCATGTTGCATTAATAGTTTACGAGACAGTATAAATGTATGTTTATACTACATTTAGAGATATTTTTCACTGTGTAGAAAACTTAATATTTAGAAAAAATGTAATTAAAAATGCTTTCAGTCTGTAATTTTATTTTAATAGTTTAAATAAAGAAAATAAACAAGTTCAGATAGTGGGAGAGCCTATAATGATAACTGTACAGCTGAATATTAAAGGAATAATTACACATTGATTCCACTGACATACGAACCTCTCTGTCCTCATAGTAAAACTCGACAGTACCGTGAAAGTGATAAATGAACGTCATATTCAGGTGTCCCTGAACGGGCTTCCCGTAAGTGTACCTGTGGATGGAAAGATCATAAATAATCCTGAGGAGCAACTTCATTCACACACAAACTGGATCAAAGCCAAGTCTCACTTTGCTGTGATGGAGCCCTCCAGAGGGTCCTCACGGTAAATGACATCCGGAGCATCGATCAAAACCTCAAACTTTGGCAGTACTGCAACCAAAAGACACACACACACATGTTGGATATTCATATCTTGTGGGGACATCTAATTGACATAATGCTTTCCCGAGCTGCTTACCCTAATGAAATATGAATGCCTAACCCTAACCCAATTGTAACCCTGTTACTAAAACCACATTTTGAGTCTCAAAAATGCCTTCAAACTTGTGGGGACCAGGAGTTTGGTCCCCATAAGGACTGTTGGTCCCGACAAGTATAGTAAACTTCCTATTTTGGTCCCCACAAAGATATGAATACACACTCACACACACAAAATTAATATGTGTTTTTATTCTTCAAAAGGAGGAAGTTGTACATGTAATGCTGGATAGAGAAAACATCCATACCATATTGAGCCACAGTGAAGTACTTCACACTTGAAATGTCCTGCAACACACAGAGGATCTTTATAACATCACCTCTCTTTGTTCTTTTTATAAGGAAAATCTATTCCTTCATTCTTTCACTCAGTCTGACTTTAACTGGTGTGTATAAATGTTACAGCCACAGAAGTCCCCTTCACATTCACAGCACGAGTTGTGAGTTACTGAAACTTAAGATAGTTGTTTATATGAAAGGGACTCTTGCCTGTGCTGCTATTTATCCATCCAATTGTTCCGATGGAATCTGCCCTGTTACAGAGTTATCCACTGCAGAGAGGTCCGATTACTCTCGTCTTTAATCATGCAAGATCAAATACATTTAAAAAACGCAGCAGTGATTTCTCTGACCAGAAATCACGCACAAATATCAAATAAAAATATCCAAGAACCAAAAAATATTTAGATTTTGTACTTTTGCTTGTCTCCAAAACAAAGGGTTAGGGTCACCAGTGATGAGAAAGTTAGTATAAATCAAAACTACGAGTAAATCAGGTACGAGCAACACTGACATACTCTTTGAAGCAAAGATGAATAAGTTAAAGGAAATGATTCCATATGTTTATTAAATGTCTTAATAGATCTTGTTAGGGAATCAGCCTTATATTTTGATGCAAACCTGGAGATGTGGAGCTGAGACATTTTTCATACTGTGCATTAATTATAGGTTTCCTGTCAAACAGATTAGTGCCACTGACCGCATGAATGTCTTTGCACAAAAGATCTGACTTTGGCAGAAGCAATCAGTGGTCAGGTGGATTAGATTGAATTATCAGAGGCCTGTCCAGCTTAATCACCCTGCAGAGGTTCACCTGCTAAAGGACTTACTTTGACTGTAGTGATGATGGTCCACTGACCCAGAGGAGGGTTTTCAGACAGCTGAAACTCTTTGGACACAACGCCAAGGACGCTGTCTGCAGCCAGCCACTGCCTGAGCAGGTTTCCCCTCGGATCCTGGACCAGGAAAAAACATGCTGATCAGACGATTTTCAGAATTTCAGTTTGTGCTTTGAAAAACGTCCAGCAAGTTTAGAGGCAAGTGACTGATTTAGCCACCAGTGCTGACGAATGCTAGTGAATGCTAGTGCAAAGAAGAAAGTTCATAGCTGGAAATTCATTAATTAAAATGATGCTGATATGAATATGAAGTATGTGTAATAGAATTAACTCATAATCCAATTAACCAGACGCAGAAGTTGTCCAAGTAAAACTCCCCTGAGATCTTTTAAAAATAGTCTCTGATCTTGCCCTCTTGTCCTCTCTTTCTTCCATGCTTTTGGTACAATAACATCATTCTTACCCTGATGATGATGTCCACGGGGCTGATGAAGGGCTTCCCATCAGAGTGAATGGAAATAACTCTGATCTTCACCGTCTGCCCAGGTAAGTACATTACTTTGTCTGTTTGAATGAAGGTGGCGATATCTTCGACATCCAAGTGGAGCTTTGTGGAGCTGGAGAAAACCTGGACTTCTCCTCTGTGACCTTTGACCTCCAGTATGTAGGCCTCCCAGTGATTGGGCTCGCTGTCACTAATCTGCAAGAATTCAACATGGAAGGAAATTCATCAACACTTAAATGACAAACAGTCACATTATCATCTTAACAAATTTAATCTGGCATACAGAAAGAGCAGGTTTTGAAAACACTCCAAGTTTAAAGTTTAAAGTTTCTCAGATGTAATCTGAACCGTGGAGGACTGAGAGCTCGCCTGTGGTCCAGATGAGAGAATTAGCCAAAATCTGCTCAACATCCATTTGAATTTTACCTGATGGTGTCTGTTTGTGCTCTACAGAATCAGAGTTACGCCTCTCCTCGCCGACCTGCTCTCAAAACAGAAAACTGGTCTTTGTTCTGGGCTCTGAACTTTTACCAGGAAGTTGCTTTTAGGGGCCACAAGGGGGCATCAAAACCCACAATTTCAGCTATGATTTTAAAGCTGAACTGTAAAATATCCTGTTTTCAAAAAGTAGTCCAAAGTGTTGTTGTTTATTTTCTAATGATTGTGTGTCATATTTAAAAAGAAATAAGGCACTTATTAGCATAGTGGGACATAGTAAACAAGTACAGTAAGTGCAAACAAAAAATAAAACTGACTTGAATTGTAGAAAGCTCAGACTGACTTTACAAAGACTGACCTTTGTATTTGTTACAGAGGAATTTCTTACTTACAGGCGGCAAAGTCAGCAGTGTGGTTGAACCTTTAGAAAGAGAATTTCACAGTGAGATTAGAGCTATAATTAATTAATTGTAAATTAATTGTTAGTGGCAGATACTTACCCCCTTCAACTTTAACAGATTGTGAGGCCATTGTTAGGTTTCCACGAACAATGTGAGCAGATACAGTGACCGGTGAAGGGATCAGGATGGTGATTGATATAGATGTTGGGATTCCATGTTGGAGGGCTTTGGGAGCGAGGAGCAGATAGGAGGGCTGAGGGTGGGGGCTGAGGAAAAAACCCATAATATATAAATATATTTATTTACACCCAAAAAAACCATCATTAAGAATAACAAGTTGGTGTAGAAAACCTGAAAGGGCGAATGGAAACAGAAACCTTCCCCACTGTGAACATTTATTATTTTATTGGAACTAATTTATTATAAAAATATGTACTTACATTAGTTTAAATCTATATCTTTTAATCAACTTGTGCAAAAATGACTGTAAGGCAATAAAACATGTTTGTAAAAATAATGAAAAATCAGCTTAGATTCAATGAATTTTTAACACCACTCCTGCAGTTTTGAACTGACTTTTTATTTTCTAAAATGTAGGAAAATATATTTAAAAACTGTAGATACACAGATGAGCAGAAGAGGAAAAACACTCATGAAGAAGCAGTTTAAACTGTCCAGGTGAGTCCTGTAGTTCAGCCTGTGTGCTTACCCGTTTGTGGTTTTCTGGGCGGCGGTGAGAACGATGAGGCTGAAAATGCCCCACACCTGGAGACGCTCCATTTGTATCAATGAAATTCACTCCAGAGAGCTTCTCTCAGTACTGAAAGCAGGTAATATCAGTTTTTGCCTTCATACCTGCAGACAGTAACCACACCCACCTCCTACTTCTCATCATCATCATCATCATCCGATATCACCTGAAGAATTGAACCAGGATCAGTTTACCTGAATCCCACTGGGAGGCTTTTATTTCTTGTGCTCTGATTCAGGTCATAATGAGAGTAGAAACACATAAACAGGCAAATATTTACAGCAACAGTAGTACAGCATACCTCTCCTGTACATATATTTTTGTATCACCAGGGGCATCTAGTATCCGAACAGAGTCAACCCAAGACCAATGATTGGACAATTAGTTCACTACAGTTGTACCTGGAGGAAGGATTGTCGTCTCCTCTCCAGAAAAAACTGGCAGAACTGATCATCAGGTTTTACATTCTGGGAACCAGACCTGTAAGTGATCACAAAGTTAAAGCAGGTGAAGAAGAAAGCCCACCTGGTGTGTCTAGTGTTCAGTCATTTGGTGGCTTTGAGTTGAGCGAGGTTTATGTTTTTTGTTTCTGACCAAATTATTAATGGATCCTCGGCTCCCTCAAGCCAGCGTTTCTGCTCTTTGAGCTCCAGTTTCGCAGCCAACAGTTTCCAGTCACTGTTGTCAATGTTGCATTTAGCTGGGGAGAGACATGAGAAGCAGGCAAAAGGATGCATTTGCTCTCCTTTGTACTGAGATTAACTTGTGCAAATTTTAACCACGTGAAAAAAAATTACTCATAACCATCTCACAGACATAACATTATGTACAGCTACTTTCATTATCATTTTTTTTACTCTTTTTCTCCAATTGATCCGCGTTAAGTTCAGTAATAACTTCTTACAGTAATAAGTCCTACCACTAATTAATCTTTCAATCTTAAATATGATCAACCTCTCTCTAATAATTGGCTATGTACCACAGGCCTTCAAGCTAGCAGTAGTTAAACCGTTACTTAAACAGTCATCACTTGATCCAGAACTCTTAAATGGTAAATGGTAAATGGCCTGTATTTTATATAGCGCTTTACTAGTCCCTAAGGACCCCAAAGCGCTTTACATATCCAGTCATCCACCCATTCACACACACATTCACACACTGGTGATGGCAAGCTACATTGTAGCCACAGCCACCCTGGGGCGCACTGACAGAGGCGAGGCTGCCGGACACTGGCGCCACCGGGCCCTCTGACCACCACCAGTAGGCAACGGGTGAAGTGTCTTGCCCAAGGACACAACGACCGAGACTGTCCAAGCCGGGGCTCGAACCGGCAACCTTCCGATTACAAGGCGAACTCCCAACTCTTGAGCCACGATCGCCCCATTAGGTAATTATAAGACAATCTCCAAACTTCCTTTTTGCTTAAAAATTCTTGATTGTCATTTATTATCTTACTAATATCATTTTAAATTATTGGATGTAACCTTAAAGCAAGGTTTAAATCAAGCCTGATGTTGTCACACACATTAAGGAATTAATCGCACTCTTATTAATTTAACACTGATATGAGATCAGTACTCGGTATCAGCAGATATCTTAAGCCAGAATATCTGTCAGAACTGGAAAAAGTTGCATTGAAGCAGCTTGTTGAGTCTCAGCTGATGGCTGTGTAGCACTTTGATCTGCTTTTTAAATGAGAAATACAAATGATCTGACTCTCAATTACTGATCAGAATAAATAAATAAGGAATACAATGGTGTGAAAAAGTGTTTGCCCAGTGCAAAAACAAACACTTTATCCTGAAAAAGAAGGAAATTTGAACAACAGACAGAACTGGAGAAGACTCTTGAATAAGAGGTGAAATGTTTTCACAGAAACTGGCCAGTTGTCACAAAAAACTGTTTTTCCTAGGAAAAGCACTAATGTTTTACCATCAAAACTTGGATGATTCACTGATCCTTGGCACAAATTCCAATTGTAATGGGAATCAGACACAGTGACTGAATTCCCACCAATAAGGGAACAAGTGGAGGTTTCTACACAAAGATCCTTTCTTACTGAACTGCAGCTCTCACGCTTTAAGTTTTTGACACGGCCATGTGATCTTGCAGGGCTGCCGTGGTCCTTATGAAGATAGTACAAGAGCTCACATTCATTACAACTACAGGCCTCACTTAGTGAAAGTCAGTGTTCATGACTCCACCATAACATGGCCATAAAATGGCCTGCATGGCAGAGCTTCAAGATAAAAACCACTGCCACACACACACACACATACATATATACTGTGTGTATATCTATACATATATACTGTGTATATATATATATATATATATATATATATATATATATATATATAGAGAGAGAGAGAGAGAATAGGAAATCAGGAAGGGAGCAAACACTTTTCACACCATTGTATTTGGAAACTATAGGACTGAGAGATGGCTGTGACCAAATCAGCAGCTGTCCATGTCTCCATCTCCAAACATCCCTCCATGTGAGTCTTGTTGTTATAGTAACAGCTGTGAAAGCTTTACCAATCTGGACTCTGTCAGGGTTGATGTCAAACACGCTCATGCGCCCAACACTCCAGGAGCCGTTGACCAGCAGCACGATGTTGGCTTTTGCTGTTGTATTACACTGAGCACATGCAAAAAGACAGTGGTGTTGGAAGGAGTCGAGGTTAGCGAGACACCTGATGCACAACAGATACCTGACATGAGGGCCTGTTTGGTCTTATTTGGACTGTTTATGGGTGAGAAAAGTGAGAAAAAGTGAAAGGAAATGCATCAGGAGGAGAGACAAGTGAGGAGTAGGAGTACATCACAACAACTCGCACACTCACAGGAAGTGTGAGAGCTGTGGTTCAGTAAGAAAGGATCTTTGTGTAGGAACCTCCACTTGTTTCCTGATTGGTGGGGAGTCAGTCACTGTATCTACTTCCCACTAAAACAGGAACATCTGCCAGGATCACCGCGTCATCAGGAGTCTGATGAGAAGCATAACATGAGACTTTTTCCTAGGAAAAAGTGTAAGTGTAAACAGAGCTCTTTGACACACTACAGTAAAGGGAAATATCCACTTTCGCATGACTAAAGACCCCTTTATCCAGCATCCAGCAAGATATCCCATATGGAAAAGAAATAGTAAAAACTTATTAAAGACTTGCATAAGATGTGGCCTACTTCATATAGTGAATCATATAAGGCTTATATGATTTACTCATGAAAGTGGCCACTTTCTCATTACTTTCATATATTGTTTTAGTAAGTATCCAAAACATGCAAGTTTCATTTATATAATTTTTCAAGGGATCTTACATCTGTGTTCACTCTTGTATGCTTTTCACAGTTTTCACAGTTTCACACAAGACAGATACAAACTTTACGAGATTTATATATATGTTTTCCATATGGGATGCATTTATGGTGATACCAGTAAAGCTAAGTGCTGGCGTGGCTGCTTCCAAATGGGTAATTATGTGACACATGAGTTAATCAGTTGGTCAATTTCTAGACGTTAATCGACACTTCAGAACATTTTACTATGTTCTGCATGACACTCCAAATGACTCCAAATGAGAAGACAGAGGTGAGGAAACTCGAGCCATGCATTCCTAAATAATGTCTCTGTGAGGAGAAAATTGTTTAGAAGATAAAGAAACTCACAACTCAGATATCTATTTTTTACATGTGCATGGGCGGTCACGGTCCGATCTGCTCTGCACCAAGTGTGCACAACAGATGTGACACAGGGAAACCGCCCAGGGCTTTCAGAGCATCCTTTATTTATACTTCAAATGAGCTTTCAAGGAAGTAGGAGTGGCATGTTCAGAATACAAAAACATTTCCATAAAAGGAGA